CCTGAGATAGAAACAGATCCAAGTCCCACGCATTTCTTCTTGTTTTGTTTGAGGCAAATAATTCTCAGAGACTGAAGCTATCTTTGCCAGTAACTTATTTAACATAGGTTCACTGAGGGATCATAATTTATAGTAATAATATTTCACAAGCCAACAGCACACACGATAATACCTATTAATAAGCCAATAAAGAACATACTCAAAGCCAATGATCGATTAATTACACTACTGTTTAGGCAAAAGAAAGAAAGTCCGAATCTTGTTGAGGTATACCTTTCTACCAGTTGGCTTTGGGTCAAGTCAGTCCTTTCAACTGAGGGCTGGATATCAGCTGCCAGCTTAGGTTCCTTGACCACCCAGGTGTTGGCACGGAAGGTGCCATGCTCCGAAGGTTATTACTCCAGGCACCATTACGTGGCTGCACCACTGTGTACAAGGTATAGCCTCTCCAAGGCAGGAGCAGATGTCTTTTCTCTTTCTGACACTGCTGGTGGCTCACCACTGCTGACCAGTAGTAGTAGCCCGGCCACAGCACGAGCAAGTGTCTCAAGATCTCCCGAGAGCTACGTAGACCAGCAAGACTAACCTCGCCCAGACTGAACACTCTTGAGTTGATGGTCAAACCTGTTGGTTTTTCAAGTTTGACAGTCTATCACATGGACAGTAACTGCAGTCGGGTATGTGGGGGGACTTGATAATATGGGTGAACGTAGTGACCGCAACGTTGCTCATGTGAAACCTTCATAAGATTGTATATCGATGACACCTTAATAAAAAAAAAAGTCCATCACATGATGGACACCGCTGCCAGTCACTATCGTGTCAGTGACATAATGTAGCATCTCCACTCTAGGTGCGAGAGTTCTATAGGAAAGTCCTAATAATCCAACTTTAAAACAATTCCTTCAAAACTAGTTCAAATCACAAACAACGTTGTCCCCCCCCCCGAAAAAAAATAGGCTTTCAAAACATGCACTTGAAATCATAACAAGCCATTCCCAACACCTACTAAGGGCAGCCTTAAATTCCTACTGCAATGATGCTAAAACGCAGGGAGGTCAGAGGTTGCTGTTAGAGCCCTAGAAGCCCATCGGAGCCCAGAGCACCTTTCTCGGTTGTCCGTAGGTCTCTCTCCGAGCTCTCCGGGTCTCTTTCAGCCCTTGGCACCAACCGTGGCACTCACCCGTCAGTTGGGTACCTTTTGGAATATTTATTTTTGGTCTGGAACGATGCAAAAACACAATCCCTGTGCCTCCCAAAGTGACCCCACAACTGTGTCCTGTAGCCCCCGCGCTCTCCGCTGTGCTGGCCGGAGCGAGAACCTGCGGTTCGCAGCGGCGCGCGGCCCCTGCGCTGCTCCTGGGAGGGGCTGACAGCGGCCGCACCGGCGCTGGCTTGCGGGCTGCGGCCGGCGGCGAGCGAGCGGGCCGAGCTCCTCGCACTGGGCGCCCCGCGCCCCCCGGCCGCCCCTCCGCAGCGTGTCCATCAGCGAGCGGCGAGGACTCACGGACCGGGCGCCTCTCGCGCGTGGGTGGGGGCGGCGGGTCCCGGCGCGCGCGCGCCCGTCAGCGGCCGGCTTCCCGCCTCCCCGCGGCCGCAGCCGCCGAGGCCCCGCCCCGCCTCCCCCTCCCGGCCGCGTCCCCGCTCGGCCCCTCCTCGCCGCCGGCCTGTGAAGGGGACGCTTCGCTTCTCAATGAAGCCGCGGGGGGCCCGGGCGGCGCGCTCCCCCCGCTCGCGCCCACGCGCGCCCCCGCCGCCCCTGAGGAACCGGGCGGAGAGGCCGCGGCGCAGGGGCCCCGAGGGCCGCTCCCGTTCCGGGGCAGCGCAGCGCGGCCGAGAGGCGGGACGCCGGGGAGGCCGGCGGCCGGCGGGAGGTTTCCGCCGCGGGCCTCCTCCCGGGGCCCCCGAAGTTCTCGGTCTCGCGCTTCCCCTCACGAGCCCGCTGGACTCCTAGCCCCTGGCCGGCGCTTCCCCCCTCCGCCCCCGGGAGGGCAGGGGAGGTGCAAGGAGAGGGCCGGGGGAAACCAGGAAGGGCTTCCGCTCCGAGGGGAGCGGCGGGCCTGGGCTGCTGCTTCGCAGGAGGCGGCGTCTGCGGCCGCCGCGCCCCGCGGGCCCGACCATGCGCGAGCCGGCGCCCGGCTGCTGAGGCGCGGGACTCGGGGGCGGAGGCCGGCCGCGCCGCGCTCCCCACGCTCCCGGCGAGTTCCGCGCGCCGAGCGGCGGCGGCGGCGGGATGGAGCCTGCGACCGCGCCCCAGCCCGACATGGCGCCGGCGCTGGCCCCGGAGGAGGAGCAGGTGAGCGGCGCCGCGCGGGGGGTGTGTCTGCGCCCCGGGGCCTAGGCGGCCTCTGCGGGCCCGGGCCGCGCTCTCCGCAGCCCCGGCCCTCGGGTGCCCCCCGCCCCGGCCGGCCGCGCCCCAGGCGGGCATCCGCGGAGCGGGGAGCGCCGACGGACCCGCCGCCGGCCTGCGGCCCCCGGGGCCTGCGGGCCTCGCGTAGCCCTGCCCCGCTCCGGCGGCGGCCAGAGCCCCTCGAGCCGGGCAGCGGGGCGGGCGCCCTCCCTCCGGCAGCCCCCGCCTCCCACGTCTGCGGAACAGACGCCGGCCTGCGCCCCGTTTCCTCCCCGTGAGCGTCTCGCTTCTCTCCGTAAGGGCTTGTGGGTTTTTAAGGGCAGGAAAAATCCCGGCCGCTGGGAGTATTTCCGCGGAGCCCGTGTGCCCCCCGAGGCGAGGGTGACGGCATGGGTACCAGGTGCCCTGGATTCCAGGACGAGCCTCTCGGGCGCCCCGACGGGCCCCGGGAGGGCCTGGCCGTCCAGTCAGCTCGGGCCGGGCGCGTCCCCCGGCCGCACCGCCCCACCCCCGCCCCATCCCACCGCCTCCATGTTCCTGGAGCCCGCGTTGGGCCCCATTGTCCGTCAAGGCCCACGACCCCCGCTTCCCAGAAGGAAGTGGCTTGCGGGGTCATTTGGAAGCTTGGGAAGGAGACGCCCGGGGCCCTTCCAGCCTTCTGACCCCCACATTCCTTTCGGGGAAATGGAGCCCCCCACCCCCTTCGGAGGAAGACGGGAGGGCGCTGAGACCGGGGCCCCGAAGGCGTGCCGCCGTCTCTTCCGTGGCGCTGCCCACGCCCTGCCTGGGCTGTGCTCGGGGACAGCCATGGGCTGCTTCCGCGTGGAAAGGAAGGAAAAACCCATCCGAAAGAGAAAGACGAGCCGTTCTGGGGACCCTTTCAAGCTCTCCAGCTGTTGTTCCCGAGGACCACGTTCGGTATCAGTCTCCGGTGTGGACACCATCTGGTTTTACGAACGAACATTGGTTAAGGGGTTGCTTAAGACTTGATTTTTAAAAAGCCTTCGACTTTTCTTCCATTTGTGGGGATCACATTTTTCATATTTGGCCTCAGGTCTCACAGTCTTGTCTTGCCTTTGAGATAAAATCAGCGTAGGGGAAAAAATGGAATTCTGGTGTTCTATACAAGCAGCGGTGACATTCCGGTAACCGCAGCTGAGCATTAAAGTGCTCGTCAGGGCCTGGTGCAGGCAGGTGGCCCAGGAGCCTACGCTGCGAGAATCAGGGAAATCGGTACTAAGGTACGATGTGTCAGGTTGATTTTAAAGGGGCAAAACTCTTGGGTTGGTCAGTTTTGAAGTTTTGAAGTTTCCAAGAATTAAAGCCATTAGTATTCCACTAAGAAAATGGTATTAGGTTGCAAATTAAAAAATTAAAACCAAGGAAAGTAAATATTAAAGCATTGATAGTATTGATAAAGTATTGTCTTTAATCTTTGATGTAGTGTGTAAATATATATATATATATATACACACACACACACACAAGTGTATAAAAGTCTTTTACATTGAATGAGTGTGATGGGCATTAATAAGGACTGGTTGGAAACAGTAAAACATTTATATATTAAGATCAAGAAGTTACATGGTTGTAAGAATCATCCCTTTTCTTACAGAATACCAAGTTTTCTATGCACATTTCAAAATGTTGAAAGACAAATGTAAAAGCAGCATAGTTCCAATTACTTAATGTCTGATAAAATGTCGTATTTTAGCTTAAAATCACATAAGAGTAGTCTTGACTCTTAAGATTTCTTTAAAACATTTAAATTATACAGCGAATTGTGTTTGTCTTCATGGGAAATGATGCATTCTGTGATGCTGCCCCATTGCTCAAACCAATTTTAGAACTTATTTGGTGTTGATTTCAAAACTTGTGACAGAATTTTTTTTTTTTATCCGACAGGCCCTTGAAGGCCCTTTCTTCCTTTCCTTCTGTTCCCTTCCCCTCCCCCTTCCCTTCATTCATCATTGATGTACAATCTTATGAAGGTTTCACATGAACAACATTGTGGTTTCAACATTTGGGACAGAATCTTTGAAATATCTTGGGTACGGGGAAAAATCTTGTACTTTTGAGAGTCATCTTGATTTTTGGAACCAGCAGTAAATCTTGTTGGAACCCTACTTAATAAACAGGGGATCAGACTAGGTTAACACAAGTTCAGGCACAAGTGAAATGCGGACACGCCCTTTTTGGGACGTGTAAGCTACCTGGAGTAGAGCTCTCCAGAATGGTTATCTTGTTCTATACAGTCATGTGAATCGGAAATCCAGATGTTTTCTTGGACACTTTTAGTTTTCCCTCAGCCTCTGTGTACTACATGTGATCAGATTTTCCTGAATATTTCTTGAGTTCATTGACTTTTTTCACTGCCCACCACCACCATCACCCTAGTCCCCAAGCTATCAGGACAGAACTTCTGTTTCCTGCCTGATCTATCTGAATTCCTTGGCTTTTTATTCCAGAAGCCAAAGGCAAATTGCAAATCTGATTGCTTGTTCCCGTCAACCTCCCTGCCCCCAAATAAGCATTCATAAAATCCTTGTGGCTTTTCATTGCTTTTGGGATCTTCACAACCCTTGATACCGTCTACTGTGCTCAGCCCTTGTGTGATCTAGAGCCCTAGCTAATTCTCCCACCTCATCTTTACTCCAGGCACATTGGTCTTGTGGTCCAGCATTCTTCTTCCATTTCCTCTTACTGCAGGGTGTTTGCACCAGCGGTTTTCCTCTGTGTGGAAACACCCTCCTTAGTTACCTTCTCCTTCATCCTTAAACTCAGCCTTCACTCCCTCTGGAAGACCTTCCTTGACTTCCCCAAGTAGGTTAGATCTCTGTTACTGTCTTTCAGAGTACCATGTACTGTCCTTTACATCACTTGTCATGAGTTTAACTGTGTGACTGCATGATCGGAAGCTCTGTGAGGGTTGGAACTCTGTCTGCTTTTGCTCATAATCATAGGCACATTTCCTAGCATAGTGACTGGCACTTGGTGAGCATTAGGAAGTACTTGTGGGATGAAGAGCAGCGTTATGTGTGATATGTACACAGACCACATTATTTCCTTTCCAAGTGGCTTATAAAAATAAGGACATTGTCCGTCAATAGATGAATGGATAAAGAAGATGTGGTACATATACATAGTGGAATATTATTCAGCCATAAAAAGAAAAGAAATCCTCCCATTTGCAACAACATGGATGGATCTAGAGGCTATTATGCTCAGTGTAATAAGCCAGAGAAAGACAAGTACCAAATTATTTCACTTATTTGTGGAGTCTACAGACAAAGCAAAACAGAGGGAATGAAACAGCAAGCAGTAGACTCTCAGACATGGAGAAGGGACTGGTGGTTATTTACCAAGGGGGAGGGGCTGTGGTGGGTGGGGAGGAAAGGTGAAGGGGATAATGGGCACAATAATTTGCAATCACAGTGTAAATTGGTCGCTGGCCCAGCAGGATGGTGGTATAGCATGGAGAACATAGTGATTCTGTAACGTCTTACTATGTTAAGAGATAGTAACTGCACTAGACAGGGTGAAGATTTAAGAATATGGATAACTATTGAACCACTGTGTTGTATATTTGAAACCAACATAAGATTGTATATCAATAAATACTTTAATTAAAAAAGGACATTGCTCATTTTGATATACTTTTAAAAGTCATCATTATTACCTCATAGTCTCATTTCCTATCTAGGTATGTGTTGAAATGATATTACACCAAATCGTCATTTGTAACTTTGATGTTTCTTTTATTTTTTCAGTTCTCAATAATTACAGAGCCTGCAATTGAGTTACAAGAAAAAGTATGCTTTGCCTTTAAGAAGCTTACGTGAATAACAACAGAGTAATAACAATAACTTTCCTGAGCTCCTGCTTTGAGTCAGGCTCTGTGCTGGGCATTTCATATATAGTTAATCCTTTTAAGACTGGAATTACCTCATTTTGCAAATGAAAAAAACTCTTTCTGAGAGAAGGAAATTGCCCAAGATCACACAGCCAGTAAGTGATGGAGCCATGATTTCCACCCAGAGCTAGGTTATCCTGCCTGTACTGCAAATGTTCCCTCTGTGATATTACATACTTTCTCATGCAGGAGTTAGCCAAGTTAATAAGATGCTTATGTGGGTATATAATAGCTTATTTTGTGGTCTTGGGTATTCATATATGTATCTGGTTTTGATGGTGCTTGTCTTGCCAGTGAGTTTTAGCCCTGGGCAAGTTCACTGTGGATTCAGTGTGACCAAAGAAATGACAGTAGAATGTTTTCGGGGTGAAAGGGTTATACCCAACTTTATTTCCCCGGTCGCAGGTCAATCACTAAACTCTGATCCACTCAGAGTGAGTCTGCACGCAGCAAGCTGGTCTCTGCCTCTGGGCCTCTCTGCCTGCATAGCCATCCTCCAGGTTTCTCTGCCCGCACAGCTGTCCTCTGGGCCTCTGTCCTCGGCGCTGCCACCACTCCAGCCTCTGCTCTGCTCTCCTGCAGCCCTGCAGCCCTGCCACCGTGTTGCCCAGAGCACTGGGCGGAGCTCTTCATATAGAGTCAATAGCAGTGTATTGCCCACACATGTGTAGTAAGCTAGCCAGCCAGGGCCAGGTGAGAATCCTGGCCACAGGACCTTTCATTTTATCCACAGTGCTTCTTAAAATATGGTTTAATAATTGCACAGAGAAAAACATTTGGAAAACTTTTACCCAGACCTGTGTATTGCCTGCAGAAACATATTGTACAGTCTATGGAAGAAATTGTAATGAAATTACTCTTGGAAATGACTTGGAGCCAAATATGAAAAGTATTACCTCTCCAAACTGTAAAAACCAAGGTATTTTGCGTCAGGAATACATTCCTTTATATATATATATGTGTGTGTGTGTGTGTGTGTGTGTGTATATATATATGTAAATATAAAAGGCTTTCTTATGGGTGGGCAAAGTTG